GGGGGGGGGGGGGGGGGGGGGGGGGGGGGGGGGGGGGGGGGGGGGGGGGGGGGGGGGGGGGGGCGTTTGTCCCACTGATGGTGGTGGAGCCAACAAAAGTTTTATCTCCGCCCCACCACCCTTGCGCATAACTCCCTTCTGCACCTTTCTCTCGAGAGCGCGTTTCATCGACGACAGCCGGTCGCGAACACCCGCCGTCGCCACCGCTTCTTCCTCTTCCACCCCTCCCCCGTAACGGCAGCAGGAAGAACCGGCAGCTCCGCTACCGCCGCTACCCCCGCCGGCACCACGACTACTGCCGTCGCCGCTCCTCCCTTGGACCATCATGCGCTCCTCCCTCCCGTCCTCTCCCTCCTCGTCGTCGTCGAGTCCGACGCCCCCGGTGCCGTCGTCATTGTAAGCGGTGGCAGTGGGGTGCATGCCCAACGCCTCCTTCGCGTTGTTCTCCCGCTCGAGGGCTTCCATGCTGGCTTCCGCAAGGGATCTAAAACGCACAAGGAAAACAAAAACAAGCACGGGGGCGAAACTCTAGGAGGATTCGTCCAACAAGATTGTGCGGTGGTTCCGGCTCATGGAGCGGCACCGCTGTGCGGCGAAACATCGGTAGCAGCAAAAATAGCCGACGGGTACCAAACGTGAGAGTGGGGTGGGGACAAGCGAAGGACAATACTGCACCGGCGGGGGTGTTTCGCGGGGCAGTAGACGCACGCCGCTGTGTTTGCAGCAGGACAGGAAGAAAAAAGAGCCTTCGCAAAACACTACTATCGGAAGACTGTTCGCTACAACAACACACGTGTTTCCTTCTTTTGCGTACTTCATCTTCGAGCACGGCCGGGTCGCTTGAAAAAGATGGACGCGCACGAATCCCACTACGTCCACTACAAGAAAACAAGAAACGGAGACATGCCCACTCACTCACTCACTCACTCAATCTCCTTGTCCATCTGCGCGCACGCCGCCTTGGTGTTGTCTAGGTCCTCCTGCCTACCCTCCAACGCTTTCCTCATCGCCGAGACCACTTCCTCCGGGTTGGCTGTTTCGTTTTGTTGTTGTTGTTGTGTTCGTGGCAGCATTTTCAGACAAGGCGGGACACCGATAGGATGCGGAATCGTGCGATGAGTGTGGTGTGGTGGGATGTGGAACCGTATGACAAATGCGGTGTAGTAGCACAACAAAGTGTGCCGTGAGTGTGGTGTGGTAGGATCTCGAATCGTGCCACGAGTGTGGCGTGGTACCACATGGAATTGTATCATGAATGTGGTGTGGTAGGATACGTTCCCATCGTGTCGGGTACATACAGCGTGCTTGGGGTCGCCACGGTGTGTACCGTAGGCAAAATCAATTTCCGGCATGGTGTCATCAACTAGGGTATCGATGGCGTGGTGTGCAAAATAGGCTGATCATCATCGGGTGTAGTGCTATGGGCGGGCGATGTATGCGGGGATGCCGACCTTGTTTCCCTGGCTGTTGACCCATCGACTCGGCCTCCTTCTCCAGCCTGCCCTTCTCTGAGTCCGCCCACTCAAGTTTCTGCCGCGCGCCCGCCGCCTTCCTCTGGCTCTCCGCGAGACGCTCGGTGCACTACAAAACGGTGGCAACAAGCGTCGAGGACAGGGCCCGTCCAACGAAGTGCAGTCGTAGGCACGCGGGTCCGGGGGGGATGGAGGTGACACTCTTTAGGGCCGACTACCGAAGAGTGGAAGACATGCGGGATATTGGGGGGATTCGGAGGTTGTAGGACTCCTTGGGAGTGGGGAACGGAAAACGGGGTCGCAGGTGCGAGAAACTTGTTGACAAAACAGTGAGCAGGGGTATCGATGACATCGCTCAAGGCACACGTTAATCAGATGGTCGTTTGAAATCGAGTGAACGACTCCGTAGTACCAAGGAGGACGGCACGAAACAGGTGAAAGAGTAAGAGGAGGGGAGAAGAGAGACAGACACAGAGAGGCAGACACACACAGAAGGATGGAGAGAGAGAGAGAGAGAGAGAGAGAGAGAGAGAGAGAGAGAGAGAGAGAGAGAGAG